AGGACAGGGTGGTGAGGGTGCTGAAGGGGCGGGGCGGGAGGAAAGGGCAGTACCAAATGGGGCAAGAATGTCTGCCAGGCCTTGGGGAGGAAGTGTTTGGGGCAGGCGGCAGTGGAGGGGTAGGTGAGCAGCAGGCACGCACTCTGTTATGTTATGTTATGAGATGAGAACAAAGTTAGGGTGAGGGTATGGGACGCCGAAACAGTGAAAGGGTCTTTGTTGCCATGAGGGTTCTGTCCTCCTCCATGGCTTCCACTGAATGCTGAGCCTGGTGTCAAGCTCAGAAAAAAATGTGGTGAGGGTCCTGCCAGAGCTGGCGATAGGCCACTTGGATGGCCTCCTTCACAATGTGGTGCTTTTCTCAACGATACCTCATGGTCGTCGCCCCTAAACAGCCAGCACATGGCCCCAAGCAACTTGAGAATCACGACTGAGCGCTCCTTAAATTTCGGAGGTTCGGGACAGGGCCGACCGACGGCGGGTGGAAAAAACATTGTCCTGCGCCTTGGGGTGGGACCAGGCATGGCACTGAACAAAAGAAAAAGTTCCGCCCGCCTCCAGGCTGGCCCTGTCCCGAGTCCCCAAACTTCTTAGGAGTGACCATCAGTGAGTCTCAAGATGTACTCATGTTTTTTTTCCTTTTTCTTTTCTTCTTTTTTTAATTTAAACCATCAGTGATTCTCAAGATGTACTCATGTTTTTTTTTCCTTTTTCTTTTCTTCTTTTTTTAATTTAAAATTAAAAGTCTGACTCAGCACAATGGTGCATTTCACAGATCATTGCAGACGATGTGTTTGACATTCGCTGCCCTTAGCTCCATAGCTTCCGCTTTTCATTTGTTTCCCTTGTCTTTCACAAAAACAACAAAACAAAAAACATAACAAAAAAAAAAAAAAAAAAAAAAAACTAAGCTTCACCTTTCACACGGAGGGAGGGACTTCGAACTTTCAAGAGTAATCTTGATTAATTTGTGACAAAGTCACAAAGATCATCATGGAGAAAGGAATCTCCGGTCAGGGTTGAGCCTTCACCAGAGATTTTGAAGACGGGAGATGGTTATCTTGTACGAGTGGTGCGTACTATGGCATGACATTCACATCACCTTCTTGTCTGCTTCATTCCACCCGTCCTGCGAAAAAAATGGAAGGTGAGGTCAACGCTCTCCAACTGGACGACGAACCTAGTACGATGGCAGCTATGACCATTGGGCCTTGCTCCACTACTCTCCAGAGTCTCCACACGCACAAGAGAACTAAAATACGGTGGTGTATCTCTCTGCACATATTCTAGCGGAAGATTCATTCTCAGTTTGCACATTTCGTGAGTAGTTGAGTGAGGCCCATTATCAATTTGTCTTGCACAGAGATTGTGGTCATGGTGACAGCACGGACAAGGTCATTACTCTCTCTCTCTCTCTCTCTCTCTCTCACACACACACACACACACACACACACACACACACACACACACACACTCTCTCTCTCTCTCTCTCTCTCNCTCTCTCTCTCTCTCTCTCTCTCTCTCTCTCTCTCTCTCTCTCTCTCTCTCTCTTTCTCTCTCTCTCTCTCTCTATCTATCTATCTATCTCTATCTCTCTTCCTTCCCCCCCCCTCCTATGTCTGTGTGTGTGTGTTCACAGATCGTTGGGTCATTAATATCTCTTCTAAAAATTGGAAAAACGACAAGTAATGCTTGTGTAGCCCAAGTGGGTACCTCATACACACCCAAGCTGTTGAGGGACAAATTTAATGCAATCCACTTCTGAAATGGGGTTAGTCTAAGAGACATCACCTATGGCCTTATGGGGTATCACTGTTGGTAGCAGGATGTTCCGCAGAACCAGATTGAAGGGTTTTAAGTACCAAGACTGAGTACTACTTACTAAGTACTACTCACTGTACTCAGTACTGATTGATAAGTACTTAATGATCACTAATTGCTAAGTACTTCATGATCCAGCAGGAGTGCTATGCTGACCATAAATCTTTTTAGCAATGATCTCAGTCATAGCAGACTGAGTACTTACGAAGTACTACTAAGTAATAACAGACTGAGTACTTACTAAGTACTACTTAATTGCTAAGTAGTAAGTACTCAATGATCCAGTAGCAATGCTATGCTGGCCATAAAACCTAGCAATGATCTCAGTAATGGCAGTTCTATGTTGACCACACTGTCAGCTTAGTCCACTAAGAATACCACTCACCGCCTGGTTCGATACCTCTGTCTCGGCAAGCACAAGCTGATTGTGTACTTTGGTCGGTGAGTGGTACCATAATCATATTCAATCCAGATGGAGTAATTTAAAAGCACTTCGTCGATACTTTGCAAGTACTTTGTCTAAAGTCCACAGTATAATATGCTCTGAAAAACACGCAGTCTATGGATATTTACTTCAATGTGCGCTTAGGATTACTCCTGTTTCATATAGACAAAGCTAAGTACTTTGTGTATACATCGCAGACATAAGATGCTCTCAAAAACACATAGTCTATGCATATTTACTTCGATGCGCGTAAGATGCTCTCAAAAACACATAGTCTATGGATATTTACTTCGAGGCGCGCGTAGTACTACTACGGTTTCATATAGACAAAGCTAACAACTCTGTTTATACATCGCAGACATAAGATGCTCTCAAAAACACGCAGTATATGGATATTTATTTCATTGCGCGCTTAGTACTAATACGGTTTCATATAGACAATTTGAAAGCTAATACTTTGTTGATACTTTGAGATACTTTGTAAATACTAAACACTGTGTGAATTCCAGAGTAGTACACTCTGAAAAGCATATGCATCGTTACTTCAGTGCACATTTACGACTTTGATGGACTTCTTCGTTTGCCAGACTGAGTACAGACCATCCCTTTTCGCCCGGCCCGTCCCTGCGGCGTCGACCGCCAGCAGTTCTGCCAGTCCCACACAGCTAGTCTCTTGCCTTCAAGTTGCTAGCACATTGGATGGAGTATATATTGTGCAGTGAACTTAAGACATCAATGTCAAACTTTTCTCTTGCCTCTCTTGCTTTCATGGTGACCTCTTTCCAAGGTAGTAGCTTCTAGCCTAAGGTCATAAACTCAAAGATACTGAGGATCCTTCCTACGACTCTCCCTATGAGTCTTCACAAGAAAGGCAGTAGGTCATCCACCAACTGGCATAAGAGTTATGGGCAAAGCCCATACACTTCCCCAAACCACCTCATACTCACCCACCCCAGCTCCCTCTCTCCGTCTGTCCCCCTCCGCCCTGCAACTGCTCACGTCCAACAGCTTCATCTGTTCCTCCAGGAGTCCTACCCCTCTTATCCGTTCTATAAATAACACCCTACCCTTCTCCCACCTACCCTTCCCTCCCTGTGCCCCTTGCCCCTCCAGTCTCCCTTCCCCTCCCCCCTACCTCTAGGAGTCCTAGCCCTCTCATCCCTTCTATAAATAACACCCTACCCTTCCCTCCCTGTACCCCTTGCCCCTCCATTCTCCCTTCCCGTCCCCCTACCTCCAGGAGTCCTAGCCCTCTTATCCCTTCTATCAACAACATCCTACCCTTTTTACCCCTTGCCCCTCCATTCTCCCTTCTGCTCCCCGCCCTACCTCTGGTGCGTGTTGCGAAACCCTGCGCCCCCATTTTCCCTTCCCCTTTCCACCACCCCTGCCCATTGCCAAACCCTGCGATATCCATCACCAAGATGGTTTGGAATCAAGAGCTCAAGCACACCCATATTATAATGTCATAGAATTCATTCAACGTGACAACCATGCATCATACAGCAATAGGCATGCATCGCTGGTCTGGTAGTGTACACAGTCAGCAGAGGGGAAGGAGCCTAGTAAATCAATGGACTCTAAAGAGCTGGATGGCGGCCGATTGCAAGCCGCGGAAAAAATAAATAAAATGAGAACAAGAACAATGATCATTATAATCACTATACGGATTCAAAATGAAGGTGCCGGCCAATGCGACCATAACCGATAGCACGCCACAACGGACCTGTGAGTTCTTCTTTCCCTCACCACACCCTTAAACCCCAGCAAGGAGATTAGGATGCCAAGCCATTCTGCAAAACCAAACTTCCCGCCATTACCGGCCCACCAGACTTTCTGATGGAACCATTGACCGACTGATCAGGAGATCGAATCCCCCCCTAAGACACCACTGGCAAGTTGATTCGGAATCAACCAATCTTCTCCCGATCTCTAACGTCTGCTCATATGCATCTGGGTTTGAGGGCAGGTGGCAGTGATGAGTGGAACTCGCAGCTAGTACGCCGTTGCCGTGCTAGCGCCACCACTCGGGTGACCAACCTTGTGACCCTTTATTGTGTGCGAGAAGGGATCATCTACGCATTTGCATATCGGATTGATGGCAGGCAGCATTGACGCAACACGCAACTCAGCTACGCCCTTCCTACGCCAGTGTGACCCTTGGGGACCCTTCACTGAGTGTGTGTGCATTGAGAAACAGATGAAACCCACCTAGTACCCATCGTCATGATGAAAGGCTGGCCAGTTGATCATTCGACCAGCCGTCCCAAGAGCATGCTCGCCATCGGAAATATTTTGATGGAATCTGGCCGTAATAGCAGGCAGATGTGCACAATGCACACACTAGTTCATCTTTGACCAGTTGACCAAACCGATTTGACGAGTTGACCCATTCACCAACTGATCCGCTGGCTAAATGATCAATCCGATTCATCTTTGACTAGTGCACTACACCGATCTTTGAGTTGTTGACCAGTCGATTGACCACACAAAATGATCTTGACAGGTTGACCAAGCAGACGCCAGTGATCTTTGATCTGTTGACCAGTCAATTACCCACACAAAATGATCTTTGACTGGTTGACCTAGTGGACGACACGGACCCTTGATCTGTTGACCAGTTGATTGACCACACAAAATGATCTTTGAGCTGTTGACCAGTCGATTGACAACAGAAAATTATCTTTGACTGGTTGACCTGGTGGACGACACGGACCCTTGCTCTGTTGACCAGTTGATTGACCACACAAAATGATCTTTGAGCTGTTGACCAGTCGATTGACAAAACAAAATCATCTTTGACTGGTTGACCTGGTGGATGACACTGATTCTTGATCTGTTGACCAGTTGATTGACTACACAAAATGATCTTTGAGCTGTTGACCAGTCGATTGACAACACAAAATTATCTTTGACTGGTTGACCTAGTGGACGACACTGATTCTTGATCTGTTGACCAGTTTATTGACCACACGAAATGATCTTTGACTGCTTGACCAGTCGATTGACCACACAAAAGTATCTTTGACTGGTTGATTGACCACACAAAATTATCTTTGACTGGTCGACCTAGTGGACGACACCGATCCTTGGTCTGTTTGACCAGATGATTGACCGCGCAAATGATATTTGACTGCTTGACCAATGGGATTTCAACGCTTGACAAGTTGACCAAACTTGTTCATCATTGAGACGTTGACCAAATGAACACATGCTTTACCAATTGACCACAAATTGAAGGGGTCTTCGGTCATCATCCACGAGTCTTTGTCGCTTCACGATCTTCGCTAGATGTCTCGGACCTCCAGTGTTCACAGGGCTTGGTGATACTATGCCTCGACGCACACATCAAAAACCAGTACGTGCATTGCCTTGTACCTCACATCAAGATGTTTCCGCGCCACCGACGGCCACAATGAGCCACTCTGACGCATAGATCTAGCATGACACTATTTGCCGTCTTTACGACGTGCACCTATGATGGTCACCGTAAGGCCATCATGACGGTAAGCACCCTAAGCTTCCCATGAAGCCTGAAAATCAAGGGATGAGCTGTGTGCAGAGATAACTACTGGATGTGACAGTGCGCCATGGACTAAGTCTTCTCTAGAAAGGAGTGCCTTCTCTATTGCTGTTATCAACTTATCATATGCAGGAGGGAGCAAAAAAAAAAAAAAAAAAAAAAAAAAAAAAAAAAACGAAAAAAAAACAGGAGGGGAGCATGGGTCATAAAAAATAACTGAAAACGATTGCGAAAGAACGTCACACCTGCCAGAAGCTTGAGAAAACTTTTGAACTTTCATGTTCTCCAAGTTCTTCTGCCGTGAGGTCATCATGATTCTCCTCCTCATGACTTTTTGCCTCTACTCTGTCCTCGTAAACCACACAGAGTCAACACCATGTCTTCCTTCCACTTCCTTCAAGCTCTTGCGACCCCTGCCATAACCCAACCAACTCCCTCTGCCCAACTCAGCTTCCCATCCCTCTTGTCCAGCCAATCCAACCCGCGCGCTGCTCTCTCAAATCGTCCACAAACTTTTTAAGTTACGAACAGAAAAAACAGTGGTTGGCACTCTTCTCCACTGCTTTCCCCAACTGTCTTGGGGCTCCACCTTTGCACTTCATCTACTCCTCCCTTGCCGACGATTCAGTTTGAGAATCACTTTCCTCGCCCGGGTGGGTCATCCCTCGATGGTCGATAGGCGGTTTGCAGGGTGTTTTGGCGCCGATACATCTTTCTTACTGTGGTCTTGTGTTGAGTCCCACATCACTCTTCTGCCTGCCTTGCCCCTGTAGTAACTTCCTTCTCATATTTGGTGGATTGATCGATGCTGAGGCTTTTTTTTTACGTATGTATTGTATGGTCGGTCTTCATTCCGGTCATCCATCGTTTGCTGTTTTTAGGCCCCGCCGGACAGACAGACTGCTGCTGCTCTCTCTCTCTCGACCTGCGCATACCACACAGAAGAATCAGTCACATAGACAGAAAAGGAGTGTCAGTTCTAGGTCGGTACACCAATGAACAAGTGAAATACAGACGCGTGCTCCAATCCAGACGGAAGTCGAACGAATGAAGTTAAGTCATTCTAAATTACCAGCCTGAGGGGAAGGTGAATCCGGCGATGATACCTCAAGGCTGTTGCCCTCCCCAACCCCCTCCCCCCCTCTCTCCTTTTAAGGGGTGTCCGTTGTCTAGGCCTCTAATTCCACAATGTTTTATGCGGAATGGCAAATATATTCCCTGCTCAGCCTCCCTCCCCCCCCGCCAAAAAAAGAAAATCTGGTTCAGGACCACTTCTGGATTTATGTGTGTCATCCTTGCACTTGCAGGGGCCACGCTAAATTCCGCTGATCTCCCCTGAATGGTTCCGACTCTAACGGGTGTCTGAAAAAAGGACCTCTCCTCAGCTTATTGTTTTGGAGATAGCAATCCAATGATTCTATAGTCCGTTGCTCTCACGTATTTCTTTTGCATTGCTACCTCCACATTTTTCATCCACTTCCTCTCCCCATTTTTCATCCATTTCCTATCCTCATTGCTCCTCCTTATCTGAGCAGGAGGCAGAAGGATAATCACAATACTTGTATCGCATGCCATGGACTTGCTGCGTCATAAGTAAAGCCTCACACATTGAGTTCTATTTGCATCTGTGTATCTACTCCTTTCACCAACGAGGGTGGTTGCTTGAAGAGGAGGGAGGAAATGATGATGAAAGGTGTGAGCCAAGCAGGAGCTGCGAGACCGTGCTATATATGATGTGCTTACCTCTTTACACACACTCTCCTCCCAACCACAGGTCAGTTAAGAATCTACTAATGACATTCAGACGACCATCATTCAAGGTTGGAAAGAGCGTACTTACACTGCGACTTTCCTTCGCATGTCTGACTGGAATTCGGCCCAACAAAATTCTGTCAAGAAATTTCACTGCCAGCGTGCACTAAGATCCAATCCACAGAGTCTGAATAACAGCTTTCTTTACACACACACACACACACACA